TAACCCAACCTAACCTAAAGTAACCTAAACTAACCTAACTCAACCTAACCTAACCAGCTGTTTCCTGGTCCAATTCACTGTAGAATTGCAAGTAGTTGTGTTAGTGCGGGTAGTCTGGAACAGGAGCGCTCAGTTCAGAAGGAAGTTCTGAAGTTTCGAAACGAGATTGTCGAACTTCATAGTTGCACTGCAAGTCTGGGAAAACTTTTCGTTTGTGATGACTACAGATGGCGTTACATGAATTTAATAATGATTTATAGTAATTTAGCAAGGTCCAACGAGTCGGTCCTCCTCCATGCGCGAATTTGCCAATTCTTTTTCGGACGCTTCTGTGATCGTGAGAATTAAATCGTCGATCCCAAATGCACGTGTTCGAACTCGCGGGCACTGTGAATGGGCACTTTACCACTCGTAATGTATCCTGTCCACAGTGCACGACGTCATAACATTTGTAGCTCCTTTCCTGTTTTGTAGTTCTTGGAATCTCTTAAACGTTAGGAATGTCCGATTGTGAAAACCTGTTTGTCCCTGAAGAACCTGTCTGAAAGGAGATGTGGCAGGCGGCTCTGAATTCTGTAAGGTCTCTCATTCATAATTGACAATAAGCTGGAAGAGCGCGACATTTTATTACCAAAATTGAAATGACTTTTGGCTAATATTTGAATACAAAACGTGTAACATACATGAAGATTAAAAGATAGTTTTTTTAATGTTGGTATTTCGGACGATGCTCTGTTTTCAGAGACCAATTAGATTCACATTTTCAAGGTTACCAACATAAATTTCGACAGTCTGAAGCGTGTATCCGTTTTTTCCTTGTTCTGAACTGAGGACGTTAGTAACATTTAGCGTTATCAGTTTCGTGACTTGCAATATGATGCACTTGGTAGTAATTAGTTTACTTCTGTTACCACACGGAATCTAGACTTTTATTTCTTGGTTTTAGTAGTTGTAGATGAAATCAGTATTTCTTGTTCTGAGACGTGTCGTAAATGAAGTCTTCCGTACCTGATAAGACTAAGAAATTTAGTAACATTGCTAAATACAGCCCCGTGAATAAGCAGTCATTGGCTAGTTAGATGGAAGTGTTGAACAGACAGACGAGGTAAGGCAGTTTTGGAGTATTTTATATATTTATTTGTGTACACAACCTAAACCTAAAGAAAGTAAAGCAGTCTAACTTAACAACAACAAAAACCCCACCCTAACCTTCCCTAACCTAAGACAACACAACAAAACCCAACCTAACCTAACCTAAACTAACCTAACCTAACCTAACCTACCCTAACCTAACCTAACCTACCCTAACCTAACCTAACCTACCCTAACCTAACCTAACCTACCCTAACCTAACCTAACCTACCCTAACCTAACCTAACCTACCCTAACCTAACCTAACCTACCCTAACCTAACCTAACCTACCCTAACCTAACCTAACCTACCCTAACCTAACCTAACCTACCCTAACCTAACCTAACCTACCCTAACCTAACCTAACCTACCCTAACCTAAACTAACCTACCCTAACTTATTTTTACCAAACCTGTCGCAAATTAGCAAAATTTAACCGAGCCGTACGTAACATAACGTAAGCGTGCCGAAACGTGACTTAGTGACAACCCGTGACTAAGCGTGACCTGCGTACACGTCGTGACAAGAGATCACCAAATGTGTCGAAACATGACGAAGATTTACAAAGCGTGACGAAACGTAACCATGCGTGACCAAGAGTTACGTAGCGTGAATAGGCGTGACCTGCTATAAAGGCTTCACGAGAGGTCACCATATGTGATAAAATACGTCGAGGATTTGTGTCTAAGCGTGAGATCTGCAAAGGAAGCCAAAGTGAGAAGCCAGTTATGATTTTTTCAGTTTTTCTTCAAGCGGCTTTGACACTTTCTTGCATAAACTGTAAAATTTCCTTTCTTATGTGGAAGTATTGAATCAAAGTCTTTCCTGCACGAAGCCAACGAATTGTATTCGGCAAACATTTCCTCCAGGAAAGATACTAATTTCCTCTGGCTATGCGCGAACATTTTTCGAATCCAGCTGAACCTTTGTCACTATCATGGAGTGGTACTAAATCATGCAATTCTTTGACGGAAAAGGCATTTGTACGTAAAGCAGCAGACGAGATGAGAAGCACAGTTATTTCTTTCCAAATCCTTAAGAGTTTATTTTATTTAATGTTCTGTGTGACGACAGGTCCATATGAACAGGATCCTTCCATCCTTTTCTCGGACTGGGGACCTGTTCATATACGTTTTTGGCAGATGATCCAGAAGTGGTTTGGCATTGCCTTCTTCTGTGTGTGAATGGGGTAATTGTTGGGATGCCACGGAGGAAAACTCCGTGTTGCCTAGACCACGGCCTTGCCCAACACAAGTTATAAATTCGGGCACCGCCGGGAATCGAACCCGAGACCCCAGGATTACAAGGCCAGCGTTCTAACCGCTAGACCACCGTGGCTATACTTTGGACTAAAGAAATTAAATGGGTTTGTACTAATTAGTAACAAATACCTTCGAGGGTCGGATGCGGCCCGCGGGTCGCCAGTTTGACAACGCCGTTTTTGAGTGTCATTTGAGTTCGTATTAATTTTTGTAAATTAACAGTTCTCAAAAGATGAGTTTGTTTGTTCCTTTGTTTATAAAGGAAAGCAGGCAGACAGCGTCTCAGTAATTCCATTGTTGTGCAGTCTTAGAATATACACGTGATCAGCACTGTTATATTCGCGACCATTGTTTACTTCTGTTTCCATGGCGTTGGTGAATCGTATCGATTTAACTCGAAAATCAAGCGATATATTTCTGTGTATCGCTCTCGAAGAAGTTGGACAAAGAAAACCACAGGTTTGTTATTGTGTTTCTTTTTAAAGTGAGAATGATTTGGAGCGTCTTGCCGGCTACAGTTTAACACAAATATTGTTAAATGTTACAGTTATAGATTTTGTATAAATTCTTCCTGTTTAAACGACTTGAATTTGGTGGATATTTATTTATTATAACAGTGCGATATCCAGCTCATTTGTGGTTGTTCCCTGTCAACACGGCATGGCGTGGAGATTAGCCGCGAATATATTGAATAAGCGGTCGCTGACAGCCGATGAGGGGTGGTCCTAATATAAAAAGTGAAACAATGAGAGTCACATATAGATGTTTTCTGTTAACAGAATAATCGTTATCACTTTACTAGAATTGTGACCGATCCCAGACCTATGGTTCGAAAAAAAAAGTTTTTTATTGTGACCTCGAAATTGAACTTGAAATTTCAAATGCCTGTACTAGTCAGACGGTTGACATGAGATTCATGTGACCTTAGCATGACGACCTAACCTTGAAAAGACCTTGGTCTCTCCTAGAAATGCGGATGGGAAAAATTGTACATGTCCTTAAAAATACCTTGAGATCAAATGCAAACTTCAAAGACCTCTGTTACACACAACAACAACCTACAGCTCCAGTGTCGCATTGACCCCTGTTGATTCGTTTGCAGGTGAACGACGATGCTGGGAAATGTTTTGTCGGTGCTATCACGTAAGAAGACACTGACGGACGAGTCGGTGGCGAAGTCGGAGTTGTCTCGATGCCTGACCGTCGTGGACCTGACCCTCCTGGGTGTCGGCAGTACCCTGGGTCTGGGAGTGTACGTCCTGGCCGGCGCGGTGGCCAAGACCGAGGCTGGTCCGGCCGTCACCATCTCCTTCTTGGTCGCGGCAATAGCCTCTGCTTTCGCCGGTAAGTAGTTTCTACAGATGAAGCAGCTGGTATTGTTTATTACAGGTCGAAACTTAAATGACCTTCGCTTGTACGTGCTGAGTTGTCGGGGTAGCTCAGTCAGTATCGTGACCGACTACGGACTGAACGAACGGGGCTCGATCCCCGATAGGGGCAGAGGACTTTTCCTGTAGCCTCTGGGTACAGGGCTACTTTCTCATTTGTGAAGCTGTTCACTCCCCCCTCCCCATCTAGTGCCGAGGTTAGGAAAGAGTTGGAGATATGAGGTGCGATCGGAAAGTTTCAAGACTGTGTCAATAGAGGGCGAACCGGATGCAGTACGAGCTTCTGCCGCTAG